ATATTATTTACTTATAAGACCATAAAACATTCAGCATTAAAAAAATAAAAAAATAAATTTATGACAAAAGTTCAGTCTTATAAAACATAAATTAAAACATATTTTGTATTAATTTTAAGTGTTCATAAAAATTTAATTAACAATCATGCATTTGTACATATAAATATATTAACTACGTGTATTAAGCAATAATACTTCATTATACACTTTTTCCAACTATTCTATAGTTGAATATGATGAAAATATACAGGGTGGTCTTCAAAAAATTAAAACATTTATATTTGTAATCTTCCTGTTTAATATTTTCCAATATCAAGTAACGTCATTTCAACAGTGTGTGATGGAAACGCTAATTTAAAGGGGACCATCATAATACATAGGTTTTATCACATTAGGTATACATTGCATCATTTTAATTTTAATTAGGTAATAAGAATAAGTACATGTCTGATTAGTTTGTATTCTTTTGTTTTCTGTTTTGTTTTTTGTTTCTTTTTTTTGGGAGATTTTTTAAGAATCTCTTGAATAAGCGTCCAACAATCCGTCCAATTAACATTTAGATCTGAGAGATTTTTGTATTTAAATGACTCTCGTATTAATAGTAATAAGTTACATTATTAGAATTATATTGTAAAGTTAACAAATAAATAATTTAAGTACGTTTGTTAACTGACAGAATAGTCGATACTTAAGACACTTTATACTTTGTAATAATAGGAAAGTATTTCTTTTATGTATATGTAAGTTTTATTTTGTTATATTCAGACGAATGTTGTATAAAATTCGTAAAACTGGGCTCGGTACTTAAAAAACTACACTGTCAATAATATCAGTGGATAGTTATCTTAGTTTTTAATTTTATAAGTACGAAGAATGTTGTACAAATGATATTTAAATATGTATTCCATACTAGTGTCTCAATAAAGTTGTTTTAACTAATATTTTATTATTTATAAAAAATGAAACTTTTAAATAATTTATTTCTACTAAATACTTACCTAATTTCAATTTGGATCCTCTAGTCCTTTTTGAGTATTACACTACATAAAATTCACAATTTAAAGAATATAGGACGCCCTCTAAGGACTAGTAGTTTAATCGGTTCATCTCAGATCATTGAGTTTCTCTCAATTTCCCATAAGTTTCGTCCTGTTTCATCATAGAGAAGTTTTTCATTAATGCTCAATGGAAAATCATTGTAAAATAGAACATTCCAGACTCGTTCTGCTGTGCGGCACGGTTGTATAGCCGGCATTTTGTTTTACTTTTAAAATATTGGATAATATTATATAAAACAAGTAAGTCAACAAAGTAGTTGTAGATTCAAATGAATTAAGTAGTTGTTAGTATTTGTAATGTGGGGCTGACAATGAAACTGCAACTTTTAGGAATTTTCTTTTAACTGACACGTGCTCATCTAACGAAAGTATTTTCACGATGTTTTATATTATTTAGTAATTAGTCAATGACTATGCAGTTGTATTTATCAATAATTTAGGTATAGGGTGTAGTTTAAACCAAAAATATTCAATCGTACTCATAATTAAGACTGATAGGTTATGTTAAAAAAAAGACGAGAAAGTATAGTATGCTTTGAATTTTTTTTATGTAATTTGTTGTTACATTTTTAAAAACGATTATTTGACAGGAAGTTTTAATATTAAGATTGGAAATTAATATATTTTTTTAGTATGTATCGCTTACCGGTTCATCTTAATGGAGTCGCAAGACAACAAGCTAAGCAGTTGATGCAGTTACAACGTTGGTACGCAAAAGATGTTCGCTTCGGACCGGAAGTTAGAGCCCTCATGTTGCAAGGGGTCGACATTCTTGCTGATGCTGTAGCTGTTACAATGGGGCCAAAGGTTAGTAATTTCACAATTTGTTTTTAAAAAAGCTGAAATACAGATATTTTTCCTATTTTCATTTTAATAATTTCCAAATAAATAATTTTAGGGAAGGAATGTTATTATTGAACAATCATGGGGATCACCGAAAATAACTAAGGATGGAGTAACAGTTGCCAAGGGGGTTGAATTGAAAGATAAATTCCAAAATATTGGAGCACGTTTGGTTCAAGATGTAGCCAATAATACAAATGAAGAGGCAGGAGATGGTACTACAACAGCTACAGTTTTAGCAAGATCAATTGCCAAGGAAGGATTTGAAAACCTTGGAAAAGGTGCCAACCCAGTAGAAATTCGTAAAGGTAATATAGGAGCTCTTAAAGTAGGCTTATTGTAATTAATTTTGTTTTGGTGATTGTTTTAGGGATAATGATAGCTGTCGAGCAGATTACTGCTACTTTAAAGCAGTTATCCCGACCTGTTACAACACCAGAGGAAGTTGCTCAGGTGGCAACAATCTCGGCAAATGGTGACAAGAAGATTGGTGACTTAATCTCAGATGCTATGAAACGTGTGGGCAAAGATGGTGTCATCACTGTAAAAGATGGCAAGACTTTGAATGATGAATTGGAGGTCATTGAAGGGATGAAATTTGATCGTGGTTATGTCTCTCCCTACTTTGTTAATACTACAAAAGGTATGCTTTGATCATGCACTTTCATTACACTGTTTACATCTAAAATTACTAATACTAATATGAATTTCCTTTTGGTTTGTTGCAGGAGCCAAAGTAGAATATCAGGATGCCCTTATTTTGTTTAGTGAAAAGAAGATTTCTTCAGTTCAGTCTATTGTACCTGTTTTGGAATTAGCAAATGCACAGAGAAAACCTCTTATAATAATTGCAGAAGATATTGATGGTGAAGCTTTGTCTACACTGGTGGTTAACAGGTAAGTAAAAATTACTGCTTAACAGAAACTAAAATTCCAATATTCCTGCTGTTTAGTATTTCAACCATACAAGCATATTTTTTTACTACAATTCATTTAATATTTTCTAAACTTGTAACTATGTAGCATAATTTCCTCCAAAACATTTTGTGGATAAATCAGTTCCAATAGTAAAAGCCTTTTAATATATAAATAACTGCATTAAAGCTTTAAATGAATATTTACCCTTTTTGTTTTAAATTATAATCTTATCAGGAGTATAATGTNCCTTAGACTTAACTAACAATATTTTAAAATAAATTAGAAATTTGAAGACAATAATTTTAAAAGATTCTGTGAGATTTGCAGTGCAATCATTTAAGACTACCATCTATTGAAATTTTAATGTTTTTCTGTTTATAATTTAGATTGCGTATTGGACTTCAAGTGGCTGCAGTAAAGGCTCCAGGGTTTGGAGACAACCGTAAAGCCACATTGGTCGATATGGCTATTGCAACTGGGGGTATTGTGTTTGGAGATGAAGCAAACGTAGTCAAACTAGAAGATGTTCAACTTGCTGATTTGGGGCAAGTAGGAGAAGTATTAATTACAAAAGATGATACACTTCTTCTCAAAGGAAAGGTAAATTAATTTATTAATAATTTAGTGATTCTATTGCTAGTTTTGGATCATTAAGAATATCATTTATTAATAATACTAGTTTCCTCATTAATAGTTTTGATTGAAAACTTGATTCAGTTATTTTCTTTTAGGGTAAAAAAGAAGAGGTAGATAAACGTGCAGATCAAATTCGTGATCAAATTGAAACCACTACATCTGAATATGAGAAGGAGAAGTTACAAGAACGTTTGGCTCGTTTGTCTGCAGGCGTTGCGGTGTTGAAAGTTGGCGGAAGTAGTGAGGTGGAGGTTAACGAGAAAAAAGACCGCGTTAACGATGCATTGAATGCTACGCGGGCTGCGGTAGCTGAAGGTATTGTTCCCGGGGGTGGCACCGCTCTCCTACGTTGCATCTCTGCTCTAGAACAACTGAAACCATCAAATCAAGACCAAACGATTGGTAGGTTTCAATTATTTTTTTAAGGTTTTCACGTGGTATAAAATTGTAAGAAAGGAGCCCATAATGGGTTGGTGTAAATTTAGAAGTTCAAGGGGATACAATTGTGAATTGGGGTGTGCTTCAGTGTCAGCGTTTTGTTTTCTAATTTTAAACCGTATTCTTTCTTATTTATGCCAAGAACTTGTGAAAAATAGTTTTCTACCATATTTCCTATTTTTGTTGGTCGAAAAATCAAAATAAGCAATGCAGATAGAGAGGCGTTGATATAGTATAAAATTGCTGCTTGATATAGTTCAGCAAAAAATATTGTTAATAATATTTTGAAGTTGTACCTAACAACGTATTTGATAAGAGCAAACTGTTTTTTTATTTTATATTGTGTATAAAATGTGTTTATTTCTGTTTTCAGGTATTGAAATCGTGAGAAAAGCTTTACGTGTCCCATGCATGACGATTGCAAAGAATGCGGGTAAAGATGGGTCTTTAGTTGTCGCCAAAGTGGAACAGAACTCTGGTGATTACGGTTACGACGCGCTCAACGACGAATATGTTAATATGTTTGAAAGAGGCATCATAGATCCAACAAAAGTAAGTGGTCAAAAATTTATTTAGCTGTTTTATGTGTTTTAATTATAGTGTGTATCCTACCAATTATCTGAATTTTATAATATTTAATCTAAATAGAACGCTGTTTCCATGTGAAGGTTCATTACAAAGTGTTAACTGTTTTATACAATTTCATTTAAAGTAATATTATCCTTTTTACACTAAAATGCTTCACCAACAAAAGAAAAGAATGATCTTGTTGTTTTTTTTTTTCAAAACTGTTACTTAATTTTATTATGTAATACTTAATAGGAATAATAATATGAAAATATTTATAATGGCACATATTAGAGCTCAGAAAATGTTCTTTCTAGTTTTTTGGGTGTCGGAATTGTGCAAAATTGTATAATTTAAATGTTATAAATAAACAGTTATAGTTTCAAATGCGATGACTGTTAAATATGCATTTAGTACATTCTATCCATTTAATTACTTCACGAATTAATTGATTTTATTGTATAGGTCGTACGTACTGCTGTGACAGACGCTTCCGGTGTAGCATCACTTCTGACAACAGCCGAGGCCGTAATAACTGAAATTCCCAAAGAAGAACCACCACTTCCTGGTGGCGCCGGCGGAATGGGTGGCATGGGAGGAATGGGTGGAATGATGTAATTTCATTTCAAAAAGAAAAACAGACTGCGATAATATTAACATTCTTTCGTGTTAGTTAGTTCGGTATATTTTTTACTACTGCTCGTTTTCAAGTTCATTTTTGATTGATTTTCGGTAGCGTTGTTACTTGTTGCTGCGAAATGAAATGCGTTTAAATGTTTCATATTTCTCTTCTCGTTTTTCCTTTCATTTTTTTAGGAGAGAAGAAACCTTCGAATTTTTTACTTATTTCAATTTTTCATTGAATTTTTAAAAACGAGTCGAGAGAAATGAAAAGAATAATTAATTGTATTGGTAGATATCATCTAGTGTTCTTGTGAATGATTGTAGTGAATTAAATATATTGGTTCGGCTCGGGACCGATTTATTCACTTGGACTCCCTGAGCTGGGTCTATCGTGTACGTGATCTGAGGGACATCATACTGCATTTTTTTAGTTGTGGTTTATAATTAAATATGTATGTAATATCTGATGTTTTTTAAGTAAACTTGTCGTGTAATATTTATAAATAATCAGAACGTATGTACTGTATAAAATTCAATTGTTGAAATTCGTTTATTTGTCTTGTTTAAAAAAGACAATATAATATGATTACCAATTAATCAAATACGTACACCTACTTTGTGTTAATTTCTACAATCTGATTTCTGTTAAAAAAAGATTATGCATTTTTTTAATTAATTCATTAAAACACTATTATTTTATTGTTTTTATATAGTTGTTGATGTTCTCGGAATACGTAACNCTTTTTTTCGTTAATTTGGAACCACCATGAAATCTAAATTATTTTTAATATAAAAAACTCATAAAAATTCAGCATTTGCGTATTTAAAATAAATTAAAAGTTTGTTCTTTAGAAAAAGTAATATAAAATTTCCTATTTTATAAAATAATTTAGTCCAAATAGTTCACTTGCTGTGTAGTAGATTAAATGGACCAGTAACAAATATTGTGGGAAAAAAAACATACACCAACGAAATTTCAAATAATGAGTTAGGTTAGTTGTGAGAAATTATTTACTTTTCATCTCTTTTATATACGTTGAATTTATAATAATTAAATACCTTAAAAAACAGTGATCAAGTTTTAAGAGAATTCTGAACTTATAAAGGATTTGTTATAAAGTTATTAAAATAACTATTTGTTATAAAATGTCTAATCTGGCAAATGTGAAAATTATTAAAATTGTAAAAGAACTTCAAAAAATAAGAGAAACGGTAAAATGTTCAATTTGGTGAGTGAAAATTCATATTCATAATTAAAAATAACGAATTTTAAACTACTACTCTTACATGCACAGTCTAGAAACAGTAAAGGAGCCCCTGCAAGTAGGATGTTCCCATATATTTTGCAGCGAATGTTTTAAGAAATATGAAGCAGGTACAACAAAAGGAAAAAATTGTTTGTGCCCAGTGTGTCGTAGCGTTCTACAAAGGCGTAAAAAACGACAGCATAACAAAGGTCATAAAGTGGCAGAATATGTAGAAAAAGTTGGTGATATTTTAAGTAATATAACAAATTGCAATGGTGAGTAAAATAATACATAAAGATTCTTATATTAATGCTGGCCTTTTTTTTTTAAAAATTGATTCAAAGAGTTTTATATATTTCAGTGTGCTCTTTAATTATCATTATTCATTATACATATTTAGAAAGAACAAAATATATTCAAGTCTAATTTGTATTTCAAATAAATAAATTATTATTTTTGTTTTAGTTTTTGAAGTATCTGAAGAACAGATACAACAAAACTTAAAATTATCATACACACCAAATTCAAGAAAAAGAAAGAGTTTTATTGGGATGTCCAAGAGAACAGTTACCCCCTCAAAACATACACCAAAGAAGTCAAAATTAATCACAACTATTGATGTGAATACTAAAAAAGTGACAAAATTGGAACAAAAAGAGACTAAAAGTCCTTCTAGAAAATGCCAGAGGAAGCCTTCGAAAAAAATATCACATAGTACGAACGTTTCTGAAAAAGAGAAAGTGACACCTAAAAAGGACCCATTTGATTTACTTTTAGAATCTTCCAACATTTTACCTCATTCAACTTTTAAAAGTAAAGTAATAAAAACATATAGTGCTAAATCAAAAACAGATAGAAATCATGTCTATGTAGATAAAGTCGTCGAATTTCAAGACAACACAAATAAAACTCGAATACTTCATTGGCTCAGTGACACCAGAAATAAGTTTGACAATATAACATTGACTCAGACTCAAAATGAGGATCAGAACAGTGAATCTAGTTTGGTTAATTCCTTTGATATGCCCTCAATTTCTCAGGTGCATAAGAAAGGTAAACCAAAAGTTAATAAAAGTATGAAGCATGTAGCCACTCAAAACTTACATACAAAGAACAATAAAAAAAACTTAAAAAATAAAAGGGCTGCCTCTCTGGATCGTTGCGTTATAAGAAAGGTTTATCCTAAGCACAGATTAAAGAGGCATAGTATAGCTTGTGAAAGCCAGGATTATGATAATATGATAATAGAAACAGTTGATAGCGAAAGCGAATGTCGTGATAATGAAAATAGTAAGAAGCACTGGAGTTTATTAGAAGAGCAATGCCTCAGAGATATCGAAAACAATACCCCTAAGAGGGGAAGACAAAAATTAAATAAATCCAAAAAAGATCCCAACACTTCTGTATCTCAGAAGTCACAGTGGGATAGATTGAAATCGATTGGTAAAAGAGGAAGAAAAATGAAGAAACTTAACGTTAGTCAGTGCAATCCAATTATATCAGAATCAAATAAAGAGAGAAAAGGAAATGTGTTACAGCATACGGCTAATGATATTACAATTGATTATAAACACTTACAGGAAACGGACACGAATTTTAAAAAACCAATTATTAATGAAGCAAATGTTGTAGAAAAAAATAAAAAAAATGAAGAAGAAGCTAATAAATATTCTTCAAATAAAACGTACGATTTAGATGCAATTGAGACTTATTTTATTGAGAAATTAACTGAGTATGATGAGAATAAAAATCCAAATGAAGTCACAGACAATTATTGTAATAATTTAACAAATAACTCAAAAAAACAGAATTTAAAACCTATTAATAACACCAATTGTGTTTTAAGATCAGTTGAAAATATAAAGAGCAAAAAAAATATTACAATAAGTAAGTCTGATGATATTAAAAAGAAATTGAATTATTCAAGTAAACCTGTTATAATTGAACAAGGAGATGTTCAAGATAAAAATGACATCAATATTAAGTGCATTGATTTGATAGAGATTCATAAAGTTGTAGAACAAGAAGAATTTAAAGGCTTTAAAAGTTTAGCTGAATTAGAAACAGATTGCAGTGCTTGTAATGAAAAAGAGAACGAGGAAGAAATTTTTAAGCCAACCCAGGTCTTTCTAGAGAACTTTAAGAATTTAAACGAGTCTGAACTTAATGAGAATTTGAATAGTTTAGTAAAAAAACTTTTTAATGAAATAAAATTTCAGAAACAGTCGCAGTCTAATGTTAACATAGACATTTTTGAACCAATATTAACAGCTATGAAATTCCTTGTAGAAAAAGTGGAACGACAAAATGAATGGCAGTCTAAAAAAAATTTAAAAGATGTTCATACTCAAACTAATATCTTGGAATTTTGCAATTCATCTGCCCAAACAATAATAAATTTGGAGAACGTGTTTACCCAAACCGATCCTATGAATGGATTTTACATTTCTTCAAACGAAAGTTTTAAAACTCCAGCCAAAATTCACGTAGAAATCCAAACTGAATGTTTACCACATTGTACAAAGTGTAATATGAAAGATATGAAGCCAGTGTCACCCCCGAGTGAATTTAAACGAACGTTAAGTAATGACAACAATAATAACGGCTACCAATTTACAGAAAGCTTAGATAATATTAATTTTGAAACTCAGGACATTTTAAATCAAAACCAAATAAAGGTGAGTCAACCATTAAATAAGTTTGTTTTCAAGTCTCAAAAAATTAACAAAGGATCTAGCTCCCAAAACTCCAAAGTTTTGACTTCAAATCTTGATAAGGATGCTAATAAAAAAGGTAGTCAGGTTGAGAAAGCTGCATCTTTAAACCAGATGTACAAGGAAGGCACATCACAATTTCCTCTTTCTTCTGCTGAGTCTCAAAAATGTTTGGTTATTTCTGTAATGTCTCAAAAAAACTCGTCATCAAGTAGACGAGCTCTAAATCAGGTATTTAACAATATGGAAGTTGAAAATAAAAATGTATTCAAACGAATACGTAAACCTGAGTCTGATAGTGATTCAGATTCTGAAATCCATGCCCATCCAAAGAAAATCTGCAATAAATTTCTGAATAATGATTTGTCCCTCAAATTTGAATCTCAGTGTGATAATACAACCAACATTGAAAGGCAAATCTTGAATAGAAATGAAATATTAAGCTGCGATAGCGACAATATCGATTATGAGGTAAAATAATTTTTTTTTCATGTTATTTATTAGTTACTTTACTTTAACATTATACACACTTTTTGAAATTTATTTTAAACAAACTTGGCTAATGGTAGTTAATGTATCTTTAGTCTATATGATAATTAATATATTTTAGAACTAATTTACTTGAAATTTTATTAGGAATTTTTGGAAAAAGTCTTGAAAAAGTACGACGATCCTCCCCCCAGTGTCAAGCCGTTATCTAAAACTGAAGATATCATTGAAAGATGCGAAAAAATAATAAGAGAAGCCACAATGCTCCGTCCACAAGAAATTGTTCCAAATGTAAGCACTCCGAAAACAGAACAAACGAATAAATTGAGTTTAAATACGATGCAGGAGTTTAATCAAGAATTTAGTTATGTTAAAAGTAACCAGGCAAATTCAGAAGTTCGTGAAAAAAATGAAATCAACGCTAATGTTAACCCATTCTCCTTGTCGTTATTTGGTAACAGTGAGGAAAAGGCAAGTTTAAATCGAAACATTAATAAATTCAGTAACAGTTCAAATAAAACAATCGATCGAAAAGAACTGGATGATTATGTTAAAGAAATAAGCAATGAATTTGAGAAATCCTTCGATGAAGATGTTAATGTTGAATTAGCAGATTTGCACGAAAACATTGAAAACAAATCGCTAAAGCAACAAAATTGCGAACAAAAAGTAACTGTTCTTCAAGATATTAAATTGAATAACTTTGTTAAAAAGCCGGAAAAAGAAGAGATAAATGAAGATATTTTTATTGAAAATTTTGACGATAGTTTTGAGAATATTGACATCGTCAGTCATAAAAGCGATGATATGTTTGATGACGTAGATGTAGTCGAAAGTACACCACAAAAGAGCAAGAAATCTTCAAATGATAGGTAAAGCGATTATTTCATTTTAATAATTTTTAATGTTTTTTTTTCTGTTTTTATTCAACACTAATGAAATTTTTTCTAACATCTAAACATTTGTATGATGTAATACACTTTGAATTTTAGAAACATTCCTCTTGATGATCAAGTGTTATTGTCAGAAACTAAGCAGCCTCTAACAATTGACGAAGACCTAATAAATTGCTTAAATATGACCTTTACACCACCTCCAGGATTCCAAGATGCTGAAAATCCAGATGATGAAACTTTAAAATATGATAATAACTTAAACGAACCAAAAACCAACACAAATGAATCCGAAATTAAAAAGTTTACATACGGAATATCTTCCCTTACACCTGATCTACTTTTAGAGCCAAATCCACCTTTAAAAAGAAATCAGCAATTACCAGAAACAAGCACCCCAAACATGTTAGAATCTGATTTCGAACAACCATTAATTCCTTTGAGTTTATCGCCTATAAAACCACCTCAAAAAGAATTCCCTACGGGACCATTAAATCCAATTGACATTGCAAAATCGTCCAAGTTTTCTCCTCTTATGATAGTGAAATCTAAAAGGCCTCCACAACGAGTACTAACTCCTCAGTCATGTACCCCAACGCAGAAGAGTATATTAAACTATGTGAAACCTGATAATTTGGACGCAAGTCCTCAACCTGGATGCTCACGTTATTCCACACCAGTGGAAGAAGTTACTGTAAATATGAAACCTTGCGTTTCCTGTACAAGACTCACATTGGAACAGGTGATGGCGATTAATTCTTTGGCATCGAAGAAATTACTTTGTTACAGCGGTTCCTTTTCAAAATCTGTTACACATATGATCGTCGCAACAAATGCAAAAGGGTGTGTGAAAGACCATACGATGAAATACGTTTTCGCAGTGGCTGCTGGGATTTGGGTATTAAGTTTTAACTGGATTGAAGAGTGTTTAAAAAGGAAATGCTTGGTACCAGAGGTATGATAAAAATTATAGAGGATAAAGAGATTTTTATAACAATAGATCTTAATAATAAAGAAATTCATTGATGTTAAGGGAATGTGAAAGTCGATTTTTTTTTGTATCTACTCTAATTTTTTTTAGGACCCTTTTGAAGTAAAAGATGTATCAGGGTTACCAGGGCCAAGATTATCACGTCTTGCTCTTAAACGCGATTTACTAAAAGGTTTTAAAGTGTATGCAGCTAAACCCTTTGTATCTACAACTGCTGAAGAAGTTGAGGTACTGTTTTTATAAACTAAATACATGCATAAAAATACGGTTACTCTTATATTTTATTTTATTTTTACTTTTTTAGAATGTTGTAACAATGTTAGGAGGAAAAATTGTGTCCAGATTAGATGACTTGCTTTCCAGGAATGGCTATATTCCTCTAATCATTACTGAAGCTAGAGCTTCACAAGATTTTGAGTTGTATGAAAGTAAGTCGTTAAATAACAACTTTATGCATTATAAATCCAACATTTCAAAATAAAAATGTTGTATAATTTAAATGTTATAAATAAACAGTTATAGTTTCAAATGCGATGACTGTTAAATATGCATTTAGAACATTCTATCCATTTAATTACTTCACGAATTAATTGATTTTATTGTATAGGTCGTACGTACTGCTGTGACAGACGCTTCCGGTGTAGCATCACTTCTGACAACAGCCGAGGCCGTAATAACTGAAATTCCCAAAGAAGAACCACCACTTCCTGGTGGCGCCGGCGGAATGGGTGGCATGGGAGGAATGGGTGGAATGATGTAATTTCATTTCAAAAAGAAAAACAGACTGCGATAATATTAACATTCTTTCGTGTTAGTTAGTTCGGTATATTTTTTACTACTGCTCGTTTTCAAGTTCATTTTTGATTGATTTTCGGTAGCGTTGTTACTTGTTGCTGCGAAATGAAANTTTGCAACTTTTTATTTCTTGGAAGTATTGAGATTTGTTAAAGAGAGTGGAACAAAACTTTTCAGTTACTTTGTAAATTAAGTTTAATGAATAATTATTACATTATTAAATAAAATAATTATGGCTTAATACGGAGAAGCTTATACATTAAATGTTCGGACACGTGTGCTGGACCACCCCGAATATTATCTCAACATAACGTAAAATCTAAAACTGAAAGCATAATTTCACATAATCCAAGACACTTTGGGCAATGCAAAACTATGTGGCATTTTTATTTAATCATACATAAATATCCATTACTTTGTCAAAATTGCTATTTTTTTCTCAATGAATGGGATATTCTTTACTTTTCTTAAGTAGGTACGTAACAGTAATATTAACATAGAACTTAAGGCGTTTTGAATTATATGAAAAATAAAATATACAACGTTATGACCTATCCTTATCTTAGACAAAATAAGAATGCTGGATATGGCTGGATACGTTTCTGATAAAGTTTTTTTTTGTCAGGGAACTTTTGTATTGACAACAAGTATTGTGTGTTGCATAACTAATTTAAATTTGCTTTTAACTTTTTTTGACGTTTGTAACCTTGAAACGGGGGAGAACAATATTAACCTAACCTCGTAATTAAATAGAATACATAAAACAATACAGAATACTAATCCTATGTGATTTTTATCATATTTTGTGTTATTTTACCAATTACATAAACGCTTTTGTGCTTATATTGACTAGTTCAAAATAGTAGAAGTTTTGTAAGTGTTATACGTACCTATTCTGTGTTCAGCGAAAGCAATGTAATATTTTGTGAAATGTTACTGTTTGTTTTATTAGGACTAACAACGTCGATTGTTGAGTAAGTTATTTATATTTTATTTAATTGTTTATATTTTCTTATTTTATATATGATTTCAAGTTGTTTGGATATGAAGCCAGTAGAACCAAACGCAAATTGTTCAAAGTCCTTGGATAATTTAGCAAATGCTTTAGCAAACTTTACTTTATGCTCAGTGAAAAATTCAAAACCAATAAAATTATGTGAAAAATGTGTTCACAGTTACTTAGAAATCTTGGAAAGTTATGAGGATATTGTTAAGGTAATGTTAAAATTGTTTAATGTAAGTTTCTTGCAGATTAATAATTTTTAGTAATTTAGTTAGCTGATGGGGATCATAAGTGTATAAGTAATTATGTTAATTTAGATAGACTACAAATAGTAGATACTTTTTACAGGAACAGTTATAACCTGTGGAATCAAGCTAAATGTTATGGTAATTAACTTATTGCACATAGATTAAATAGCAAAATAAGTTTAGTTACTTATATATGGTTTTAGAATGTTTTCAAAGCATCAATGGGAATTTAACCGCCAATTTATCACTTGAAACTGTTCATTTTAATGAACTTTCAGACGATTTCAAAAGATGCATTGGTGGGAAAGATGTAAATGAGACAAATATGTGTAACATTTGTATGGATGTCTACACTAATTTGGATAGTTTTTATAAAAGTATAAGTAATGAAAATGAGAAAATTGGAGTGTGCATGGATATTGTAGATATGGTAAAGATTTTTTATTAGTTTTATAGTTGCTTTTAAATTAAACTGTAACTGATTTTCTTGAAGATGAATCAAACAAGGGGATTCTGGAGTAAAAATTGTTGTAAATACAGGCATCATGTCGAATTTATTTTTGTATTTTCTACAGCAGCAATGATCTTTACAATGATAATATTTTATGTTTTGACTAAAATTTGTACAGACAAAAGAATGCCCACTGTGTTCAAACGTAAGTGCTATTTATTATTACAAATCATATTCCTAAAATGATGTAAATCCATAAAAACTGACACTTCAGAGAATAATCTTCCTGGTTTATTTCCAAGGACAATTACACTTAAGTACTAAATTTTAGAACTATAAACAGTATGCGAAGTTTAGATTACCAAGTTGTAATTTTTAAAAATTTTAAAGTAAATATAATTGTCTCTTGTTTCTAAAACGATACTATTAAATTGTTTTTTCCCCTTTTTTTCAGAGACTAGATTTGCTAATTATCTACAGAGCTCCTCTTCGTTAAGTACTAGAAGATAGTTTAATTTAGACTATGACAAATAATTTTATCTATAAAAACATATAAGTTATCAGTTTTTGAAATAGCNTGTACACTTTTTAAAAAAATCAAATAAAAGTATCATTTAAAATATTTATTTCAGTTATTTTAATTCAGGTATCGCATTCTTTTTATCAGCAGAAACAGACAGAACTAATTAAGTCACAGCAGTCTCAATTTAGGTACATATATTCTAAAAAAATTATCACTTACACTTTTTCACTAAAATTATCGATGTCTAGCTTTCTTGTTATTATTTTTCTTTGCACTATTGCTAAAGTTCTTTTGCTTAGCAGCAATGTCTCTGTTAGGACTTGGCTGATGATCCAAACCATTTTGATTCTGTGTACCATTTTGAACAAATAAACTTGAACTGTTAGTGGGGTGCTTCCCTGCTATTTTAATACTGTCCAAATGATTTGATGTTGGACCTGTCATATTTGTATCACTTGAGTCTTCATTTGTTTGAGATTCAGTATCACTGGGGCGTTCAGCTGAAAATGTGGGCAAATTTTATAAAAGAAAAATGATACATTGAAAAGAAATTTAATAACCATCCAGTACACATATTAAACCTTTTTTTTGTGAATCAACAATGAAAGATGTTATTTCCTGAAAATTGTTCTTTTGGTCATTTTAGAGAGTATTTCATCATAAGGCTTTTTCAATAAATTTAAACCAATAGTTACTTAAATTGAAGAAACTGCATACATTCAAAATACTTTATGTACTCTAAAAGGTCTGTACTTTCAATAAATTAAAGAATAGTGTTAGCATGCTGAATGTCTAGGCTACAATATAGAATACTCAAAATCGATAACGTGCAAAATGGTAAAAAGGATAATTTATTCTAGTGCTATTGTAAAACAAGCAAAACAAGAAAAGAACATTTAAATATACTTTTATTTTATCATAAACAAAATAGAAACAACCTTGATCAAGACAGTGGAGTGAAAAAATAAAAATTTCTATTGCTTTCAAGATGTAAATTACGCTACATTTAAATCTACTGAGCTCTTACTTTTTTCTTGTGTTTGGTCAACGATGCCACTAACAGCCTAAAAATAGTGAACATTAGATTTTAGCCAGACAAACACTTTAACAAACATACAGCCATAGACGTAATGGAGGACTTTGAGAATAACCTTTCAGCTTCTTTAAATTTTCGATTTCTTTTATCAGATTTTGAGTTTGTTGTTTTATTACTTGATAAGTACCTATCCCATCCTCGAATTATATTGCCATACAGCTGTGTGTCTTCCAAATATGATCCCTCAAAGGCATAAATTTGTCGCTCTAAGTTAGCAAGAGTTTCCTGAAAGAAATTTTAAATTTACCTCCAGATATGTTGATCTGTAGTTGCCTCTATAATGATGTGGCGTTGGTCACACCCTCGCTCTACTAGAGATTATTAAATATTCTGAATTGTAATAAATGCTTACAGCAATTTCAGCTTTTCTTTTAACTAATTCAGCTAATTCTCCTCTTGCATCAATCGTTGAAGTGACTTTAGAAGACATATTTCTTGCAAAAAGTCAAATTGACAACAAACAACAAAATAATTGACAATATTATCCATAGATTATGTCTACGACTCGAAGTCTATGACCATAGATTAAGTCAACCATGGATAAGATATATTTCTATTATCTATGATAATGGGTTAGGGACTATAGAAAGAACTATACGTTTACTACAGAGTAAATGTGCATGTAAATTTAATTTCAATAGATGTAGGAGAGACAAAATATAGAGTTTAATTACCTTAACTTAATTGTGACATTAATAATATTTTATTTCAAAAATGGTTAAAAAATTCAGTTCATGTGATTTAATTCTTCCTACACATTATTTGCATTATGATCCCAATCTTATATGTATCTCTATAGCAACATATTTATTATTTCTTTGATTCAAAATTAAAAAACCAATATAAATCAACCATAGATCAGAATAGATTAAGTAAACATTAAACATAACCATCGTTAACCTTAATATTGTAGAGGTTGAAATGAATTATTTATTATTTTTTTAGTTTTTATTTATTATTGATTAGAATGTCTCATAATAAATTACTTCGTGTAACACAATTAGATGCTGTATACTTGAACAACGAACTCACCAACATTTTTCTAAAGCAAATGCAGACATGTCTTCGATATTTACCTGTAAAATGAGTTAATGTATTTGGTTTTTATGTTTTTTTACGCATTAATTTTAGGTTGGACTGCATATTAATTATCACAATGAAATAAACCACTTAGTAAAGTTGCTACTTTCGTCTTATTCTTTGTTCAGTCATGATTGCACATTTGGTCAAAAAATGCTTTTGATAAAATACTCAAATGCAACTCCATTAAAGAAATGTTTGTATGTATTACTCAGTTCATTAGATTACGTTAGAGATAAAATAGAAGACACTGGAAGAAATAGTTCTATTATAAAGTGTAGTAAACATGCTTGTTCTGTGATTAAAATTTTAAGTTTTATTAATTTATGTTTATTCATAAAATATGGAAGATATCCCCAATTAGTAGAAAGAATATTAGGATTGGAACAAGTTTACTCAAGAAATGTTATACGTAGACAATTTGGATCTAAGTATTTAGCAAGAGAGTTGCTTTGGAATGGTTTTATAGTAAGTTGCAAAAGAAAACAATGTTATTAGTAGTAAATATCTACTATTTTCATAACTGTTCATAGGAGGTGCTGGTGTGTGTTTTACCGTTGATTAATTATCATAAGATAATGAGAATTTCTAGGAGCTTTATTACTTTTCACAAAGATAAACGTGGTGGTGAAGATTTTAATGTTCAATTTACAATATCTACCAAGTGTGCATTTTGTGGGGAAATTCCAATTTTGCCTCATCACATGGACTGTTCACATGTTTTCTGTTATGTGTGTTTGAAAGTAAGTCTTTAAATTTTGAAATAGTAAAATTTCAACAAACGCGTTGAATTAATGTGAAAATACAAATACTTTTTTTTTAAGGGTAATCTTCAGGCTGATTCAGGATTTGAATGCCCAAAGTGTGGTCACAAAAATTCTAAGGAAATTTGTAAAAAGGTGGTCATGTAAATTACAATAATAAAATATTTTATGTATAGTTGAAGTTCATTTCTTATTCAAATTAAATTATATATTACCCTATTAATTAATGATTTTTGACGCCTCTCTACTGAGTTTCACCTTTGGTTTTACTCATTGTGAATACACCAATGTACTTTAGTTATGTAAAATGTGTGACGACAAACTTTTTAAATGTTCATAAATTTTCTGCAATTGGACAGACATACCTTTCATTTATTTGCAAAATTATTGTAAAAACTCGAAATTTTTCGTGCAGAAAATATACAAAATTTAGGTGTCTTATGACGCGTTTTAGGGACTCCCTCGTGAGTCGTGTGACTAGTCGTCCTGGACTCCTTTTTTAATTCTTGGCTAATATTTGTCTTAGGTTTTATTTATTTATTTTTTGATTCGGGATTTTAAGCAACTTTTTAGTGTTTTTTATTACAAATATCTAACAACAAAAATAAAAAAATAATCTAATTTTTTATAAGAAAAAAAGGGCTAAAATTTTATTTATTCTTAATTCACGGTTTTAAGGCTTATTTTAAAAATTTGATTATTAATTTTCATAGAATACTATCTAAACTTTTCATCTTTAAAATGCGAGTTGTTAAGCCGTTTATTATGAAAAATTGGTAAGTGTAGAATTAGTTAAAGTTTGTGGTTTTTCTCCTAGTGGGATAAATAGAACTTCACGCTTTAGAAAACTCTTGCTATAAAGAATAAGTTTGATGATCTTAAAACAATTATAACAATAACTATAAACGCCCAGTTTTCACGTTTTTTTTTTGCAATAACTTTTTTATTTGTTGACCGATTTTAATTTAGTAATTCTTAAGTTGTAGATAATTATATTGCTCAGAAATCCCCCCCCCCCTCTCGTACATCATTCTTTTCTTCGATCCATTATTTTGACAATATTTCAGAATTTTTCCACTTTAATGTTAAAATAAAACAATGAAGTGGAATTTTATTTTTGAATCTTAAAATGAGAGGTCTTTCTATCATCGCTCCCAACATCTACGCAAAAAAAAATATATTACGAAAGCTTAGATATTCATTGGCATATGTGTGGTTTCGTTTTTTTTTTTTAGTGTGCTGCTAGTAGTACTAATTTACACTCGCAATATTTTTTAAATTGTACCTTTTAAAAAAATGAAATACATATACCGTGTGATAAAACAAACATGCCCTTTTGGATAGTAGCAGTAGATATGTAGGTAAGCTTGCAGTCTTGTTAGTGGCGACACCTGTGGTAAGCAGATGAAACAGATAAATTTATTTGGGTGCGTCGCTTGTAAAAGTTCGTTAGAGATATGCGGCAAGTTTCGTGGTCTCGGTCTTTTTTTTTGGGTGAAAGTGAAAAGTGTAACTGACAATTTTCAACTTGCTGCTTGAGAATATTTGGTTCTTCTATTTATTAAGCAAAAAGCAAGGTTTGCATTTTTAACTAGCATTTTTAACTAGCGGTGAGAGGGGACAAGGGGCTAAGTAATTATTGAAGTAAACAAGTTATATTTTATTAATCAAGATGCTTATTTTTGATACATTACGTGTATTTATTCTACTTCAAATAAGGCTCTAGCAGGTGGTTGAAGTCTTCCTTCCATGGAGACTGCATAAATAGAAATGTGAATGTTACTTTTGAAATCGAGATCATGAAGAACAGCACAAGTTCGAAATGAACTGTAAACTCTTGATTTTAACAGACCGTTTGCTAGTATTTCGTAGCCGATTTGTTCTTGGGTAAATTTTCCCGGTGTCCAAAAGAGTAACAAACTGTTTGAAGATATCCTTCTTGCTTCTGTTACCTCCATTTCGTCAGGATTATCCACAATTTCCTCTTGAACTGATTCATCATTTAATATATATTTGTTTGTTTCAGTGGTGCTCAGTGCAACACAAATACTTTTATCACCGCAATTGTTATTATCGGAAGTTGCCTTTTCAAGTAACTGATTCTTTAAGCAGTTTACTTTAATGTTCATATGTTTACATTGATTTTGAAGTTTTTCAAAAGTTCTTTGTAAATTACCCAAGGTTTTCTCGAGGTTTTCTTGCTTTTCTACTGAATTACATCTTTTGAGATTATCAGCTTCCTTGCAAGCGCTATGAATTTTGTCAAGTATTTGAGCAATTTCTTTATTGTTTCTACTGAATACCATTGCCATTTGACCAGCTGATTTGGTTATTTTTGGGACATTTTTTACAGTTTCCAAATGAACCGAAGATTTGTCGATTTGAATATTTTCTTGTTTCTCGTATAGGCTTTCGGTTGATTCTTGATTTTTATTGAAAACACAATTAACACAACCGCAGTTTGACTCATGCTTATACAATTCTATTGGAAGCTTAATTGGGGAGTCAGGAGATGTTAAACACGAAGGGCATTCGCAGCTTGCTGGGTGGTAGTCTTCTGATAATCCAGACTGGTGTAAAGAGTCGTCAGAGTTTTGATTCTTAACACCATTCCATAAATACAGGCACTCTACACACGAACAATCTGTTCCATGTTCTGGCGGAATTGCTTCTTTGTTGTCTTCGGTTTTGCATAAACACGAAACGCATAAACAATCATTTGGGTGATGATTTTTCGTTTCTTCATTGAATCCTTTTTCAGAGTCAGTACCTTTGCATAAGCAGTCTATGCATGTACAATTGTGATGAACGAGGTTTCGTTTATTAACAGTGTTTCTGACTAAAATTCTAGGCCTTTTCACAAGTGTTGCTTTGTTAGCCTTTAATTTGTTTTCTATCACAGTTTTGATATGAGTTTTGGTAGCGTTAGATGTAACTTCGTCTTCCGAAGTATGAAACGATTCTACGGTTTTTATTACTTTACCTTTGCGGTGGTTAAACAATGGTGGTGTGTTACAAGAAACAGATTTATAAAGGGATGGCACACTGGTAGGAGTCGACTCTGTGTTGGGAAAACACAACGCAGTATCATACGTTATTGACCTTCCTGGCTTGTCAAATAATATGCAATTCATTTTTCGCAATTTTTTTTGGTTCAGCCTTTTTCTAGATAATGTATTACCTTGTATGTTTAAGATGTGTCAAATTTAATCTAAAGTGGGTGAAAAGTTGTTTAATAAACATTTCTGAGTGAACCTGTAACTCTTTGCAGTTTTATATAACGTAAATTTTGATATTTTAAGTCATTGTCAAAATTGATAAGTCTATGGAAAAGTCAAAATTGAAACGTTGATAACGTATAGGTACTTCATCAAAAACAAGTTCTTTTCTGACCATCAAAATAATTGAGATCAAAGTTAGTAATAATAATAATGCTTTATTTCTTTACGTGCTATTGGGTTTTTGCAAATTGCTCCTTACACATTGACTTTATCCTTACAAAGGTGTTTTACATACGTTGTCCTTAAACTATGTAACCATCAGGCCTCTAGAGAAGTATTCTGTTTTAGTGGTGGTGCAACCGAATAACCAGCTGTTGTACTTTATTTTTCCGATTAAACTTTTACACATAGTTAAGTTTTTCATAATTAGGTCAGTTTAAGCCTTTCGTAGCAAGAAATCATCAGGCCCCTAGAGAAGTATTCTGTTTTAGTGGTGGCGAAACCGAATAACCAACTGTTGCACTTTATTTTTCCGATTAAACTTTTACACATAGTTAAGTTTTCCATAATTAGGTCATTTTAAGCCATTCCCAACAAGAAAAACATTTTCGAAAAATACGGAAGTTTTACCAAAAATAATTATCAAACATTAATGTTAAATCAATTTAATTTCATCCCACTACAGATTACCTTAAGTTAATAAGGTATTGTTTGACGCTGCTGTTACTGTCTCGCCGGGAATCGAACCCGAAAATTTTTCTTAAAGTATTGATATTAATAAAACAAATACCTAATACAATAGGTTAATATCGAATCCAACTGTGTTCAAGTTTATCTTGTAAAAAGTTTGTAATTTTATGTTAAACGTTTAAAAACTTTTTTCTATAAAGCATATGTCAAAGCTCGCTGCACTGGATTCATAGTTATCAATTTTTACTGGAAGTCTTTGTTTTCGATGATATCTGAAAATCCTGTTCTGGATTAATTTTAATTTTTCTAGAAAAAATTTTGGCCCTTCCTATTAAGATCAGAATTACGTTTTCCTGTTGCTTTATTGAAATTAGGGATTCTTTGGTGGTATTAATAATGTTTATTGCGTCTGCAATGTTCAAGCCTTCCTTCCCTCTTTTCCTTTAGGCTAGGGCTCTGGTAGTTACATGCTACTTTCTTCTACTAAGCTTCTTATTTCTACACCATCTTCTTTTGTCCCTGACCCCAGCACATTCTATCCAAATCTGTCCTATCCCTTTCAATATTTCAACTAATAGCTCTCTCGTCTCATCCTCTAGCCTGTCTACCCTACATCCGTTTATGAACTTTCTTATCCTTTTCCTTTACACCACAATTACTTTCTTACAACAAAACTGGCGGGCCAGTGTTTTCTCTCTTTCTCGTTTGACATAATCTGCATCTTCACTCATATCCTTTTTTATTAGCTCTTCCTATATTACTGCACCTTATTCTGGTCCACATCTAATGCTATTTAAATACTCTGGCCCATTTAATTCTGGCATTAAGTCCCTTTATAAATGTTTGTACGTAGAGTATGCTATCGCTTACCACGGCCCACGCATTTTGCCCCAATTTTGACGCTTTATTGTTTAATATTACTCTCATTTCTTCCAATAGATATATTTTCGGTCATCTATCATCCTCCATATTTAGCACATTTTAAAAGTATGGCACTCTCTTTTTCTAACTGTGTATTTTATAATACGTTTCTCCAGATGTATCTTGGAGTGTTTCTCGCCACTCCATTTTCCAATACTCTGATTAGATTGTCCAAGTCTTCAACTTTACTCCAGCCCCGTACATCCACGCTGTACAAAGCGGCAGCTCTGACATTAGAGTTCATAAGAAAAACGCGATCTTTTTCTCTGTCTCTACCCACTTTCTTCATCACCCCCAGGTTACATTGGCTGTTCTATGCCTTTCCCACTAACCTATCTATATG